GGAGAGTAACCAGGGGCCGAAGCAGGATTTCTTACGTAGCCCAATAACTACTTGTATTTGAGGTAGAGCTTCTAATTGAACAGGTAGTTTACAATGTTTTTCTCTTAAAGCACTACTTCACACTTTTTCCTTTAAAGTAAAACATTACATTGTTATTTCTATAAAATGTATGTTTATTACCTGGGTGGGGGTGCTGTAAAGAGCTTTGAGACAATGTAACGTTGTGATAATGCGCTATACAAAAATAAATTTGTTTGTTGTTTTTTTGTTACTAGTAATACAGTTAAAATAAATAAGATGCACATGTTGCGTTACATGCAGATGTAATTTTGCGCTGGTGCTCTTAATATTTCCAGTAAGGAGAACCAGTGCTACTAGTGGAAAAAGTTAGTCTGGAGGTCTGGGGATAGCTGCTAAACACCACAAAACAACACGAAGGTTTCCAGGAGCCACTCAGCACCTCAGCTGACCTCTCTCAGCAAAAACTGCATATAATGAGCTTCACAGAGCTGGAATTTAAGGCGGAGCTAATAATAACGTTCTGGTTTGCCATCTTTCACTATTTATTAGAAAAACCCGATGGCCTAATGTTTGGAGAAAGCTAAAGGGTGCCTTCGGTCTGCATTTCCTCTTGCTATGGGCAGCCATCTTGGGAGTCATTAGGGCTGACAATTGCTGTGCATGGTCATATAACAGCAAAGGAAATTCTTTCACAGGACCAGGTACACCATGTGTTTTAAACATTGTTCTCTCATTATGTTCTCATATTTCAACACCCCCCCCCCCCATACCCAACAATAAAACTTTCCCCCGACAATAAAATTTAAAAAAAAAAGTTAGTTAGGGTGAGGTGTTGGTTGTGCAGCCTGAATTAAATAGTTTTTCAGTCTGGTCTGGTATTTTTCAATACGGGACAATGCAGTAAAACATTAAAAGTAAAACGGTAAAATTCCAGCTAACAGGGAACGTTCTCGCAGTGCCTTCTTTGAACATTTCCATAGCTTAATCGCCTTCCATAGCCTTGCTGTGATTGGCTAATATAATGCTGCTCTATTTGTTGTCCAAACAGAGTTGTCGAAAAACTCATCTGTGGCTGTGAGCAGCACGTCTCTGAACAGCGAGAACCCATATGCCACCATCAAGGACCTGTCCGCGTCCCCGTTCCGCCCGGTGGAGAGCAGCTACGTGGAGATGAAGTCGCCCATCTGCAGTGAGAAGCCCTGCACAGTGACTCAGGAACTGCACAGAGGTACGCAGCGGTCTTTGGCGGTCAAAGGGCTGTTTGAGGAAACAGATGTAAAATGTGAGCAAATACAGCATGAGGATTGCAACAGTTTGGAGACAGTAATATCCGGCACCTTCTGGCCAGCCTGATGGGGCGATACAATAAGCTACGATCCATCCTGCCATGAAAAATGTTAGCATTCTTGCACGTTTTTTTCCTCGAATTTAATTGTATCTTTATGGGGTTTTTTTTGGGGTGGGGGTGGCTGAATTGTAATACAGAGAAAGTCAAAGCAGAAGAAAAAGATGAGCACTTCTGACATTTCTTTGCTTACAGAGCCCCCAGGGGGACATGGGACGAGAAAAGAATAACTAGAACTCGCAATATTTTTTCTGTTACTATTAATAACTGCGCTGCGTCCGTTAAAAGTGCGATATAATTACGGTAATTGACGGTAATTAATTACGGTAATAGCACAAACATGCCCAGTAAAGTGTGCTTTAAGCTTTAAACTATGGGAGACAATGCACACTGTATAACAATTTCACTGTGTCCATTTCAGTGCCAGTGACTGCAAGCGAGACAGCTATTGAACGTGAAGTGCACATAAAAACAATGAAATATTAATTAATATTTACTTGTAAAGAAATCTGAAAAACCGAAGGCTGTTACTTGCTTTTTTGTTGAAATATATTGCAGCCAGTACACTGAATATGAAGCTGACTTTACCGCGCTGTTGCAGTTTTATATTCCAGTTCCTGGAACATTTCAGTATCGATCCGCATTTTCCTAAATACATCTCCAAGCGAGAATACCAGGGAGTTGTTCCAGAAAGCAGGTTTGAGTTTAAACCTTAACTATGACACTGCCGTGAAGTTAGCTGTATATTTAGTTTTCTGTCTGTAATATCTTTCATCAAAATTAAGCAACAACAACCCTTAGCGTTCCATATTCTACAGGTGAATTTTTATTAATATTGACGTGTTTACATCAGTTACACTTCATGTTCAATAACTGTCTCACAGTCACTGATGATGAATGATTGAGTCGCAATGCAATTATTAATGAATATGTATAAAAATACATAATCTGATTATTAAATGCTGTGCATTGCAACGTGTCCAATGCTGTCCATTGCAACGAGTAGAATACGGATTAATTTTTCCACANAATCTGAAAAACCGAAGGCTGTTACTTGCTTTTTTGTTGAAATATATTGCAGCCAGTACACTGAATATGAAGCTGACTTTACCGCGCTGTTGCAGTTTTATATTCCAGTTCCTGGAACATTTCAGTATCGATCCGCATTTTCCTAAATACATCTCCAAGCGAGAATACCAGGGAGTTGTTCCAGAAAGCAGGTTTGAGTTTAAACCTTAACTATGACACTGCCGTGAAGTTAGCTGTATATTTAGTTTTCTGTCTGTAATATCTTTCATCAAAATTAAGCAACAACAACCCTTAGCGTTCCATATTCTACAGGTGAATTTTTATTAATATTGACGTGTTTACATCAGTTACACTTCATGTTCAATAACTGTCTCACAGTCACTGATGATGAATGATTGAGTCGCAATGCAATTATTAATGAATATGTATAAAAATACATAATCTGATTAAATTGTGTGCATTGCCCCCCCCCCCAATGCTTAAAGCACACTTTATTGGCAGTGTTTGACATTGAGTTTTATACTCATAAGTCCATATAATTCTACCCTTTGCACTTCACACGAACACAGTGCAGTTGTTAATAGTGACGCAAAAGTATTGTGAGATCTCACAGACGGACTTGTTATATTTTTCCGTCCGCTTAGGTGCTCCGTACTTTCCCATAAAAGCAAATCAAATATGCAACGTTCAGAGAGGGAAAAAGTTATTAGCTGCCTAGTGAATTGGGGTGTGTGAGCTCCGCACTGTAAATATAAGGACATTCCATCACGTTGAAAGCAATAGTGATCGTTAACTCCTATCAGTCTATCAGTTGAGTTGAAGCATGGATGTCAAAATGAATTTCGATGAGTCACATAATGCCTAAAAATTGTGTTCCATGTACAATGGGCTCCCGTTAATAATTCAAACTGACAAAATCTGCTCCTGCCTGAATGCTGCCCTGTCTTTTTCTCCCGTCTCTCAGACCAGTGCTCCCCCTACAGTGTCCCAGAGTCCCAGCATCACTATGACCTCCCAGTCAACAGCCACATCCCAGGGCACTATGATCTCCCCCCAGTTCGCCGACCGCCCTCCCCCACACTACGGAAACTACCCCACTGACCACCTGTTTTTTTTCTTTAGAAGCCTTAAACTTGGAAATGCTGCCACATGCTGGATTGACTTGGCATTGCATGCTGACAGGGGTTCCCGGGAGTGTTTGCGGTATATTTCAGCTCTTTTGCACAACACTGTGGAATGCAAAACTGCAAGATTTTATTCTTGGGATTGGATAGCAAATTTGCAAATGCATATTTTCATGATGCCAAAAATATGATTTTCAGGTCAGAATTAAAATGTCCAAGCAGAAATTATACTTATGTTACATTAATAATGTTCAGCGACCTCTTGCTTTTGGTGGACTCTTCAGAGGTACTGTACTATGCTATAGCTATGATTTTGTATAACTGGGTATCTATGGTTCTTGGAAAATACAACATTTTTTCAGTAAAACCTGGCAAATTTTCTTTATAGACAGTCTGTAGTATTCCCAGAGGCAGCTGTGCTATATTTCTAATGGGTTCATTGTTTTAGTTTTGGGAAAGAGAAAATTTGATTGTACCAGTGTTACTTATTTTGAATGTAACTAGCCTTCTATGTAATGTACAGTGGATTTATTCATAGACTCAAAAAAATTAACCAGCTTTATAATAACTTGATTTATTTGGAATGAAATGAACATTATAAATGATGAGGAAAATATGTATGAAAGGGAAAGACCTTTGTAGTTACATAAAGTTTATAAGGAAAAAGCACAGTTTTCCATTTTGGGGGCGACCTTTATTCTGAGCATTGTGTCCTATAGTAGAAAAGACATAGTGTTTACCTTTAAATAGAAAAAATATCAGTCTTTTTTTGGTTATACATTTCTTTGGTTTTAATGATTGGTAGTGTTTCATATCACCATGCAAACCTGCAAAGCAGATGAAACTTGAAAATAGAAGTACAATGATTTTCAGCCATAAATATCACTACAGCTTTAAAAATGCATATACAGTTGTTCTTTTTTAAATACTGTAGAAAATATGGGGGTATTTTCCTTCTAGTTACTATTGTAACGAACAACAAAACAGATTCCACAGACAATGGCTGACATTGGGTTTGTCTGAAATTGCATACTTATTTACGATGTAGTAGGCAAAATGCAGTATGCGAAGTGAGCAGTATGTCTGACAATGACAATGGATTTTCAGAAGAGGCGGGCGTTTTTGATAAATAACAATAAAAAAGTAAGGCATGGAGTGCAGAGTCGTTTTTCTGTTTAATCATTCTAACATCTTTTCAAGCCTATTAGTGTTAAAGCTAATTAGTGGAGTAAAAAACACTGACTAAAAGTAGCCAAGCAGTTTTATCACTAGTTGAAATAACTTTAAAATAGCAACATCTTTGACAGGAAAAAACATCACCTCTTTTTGAACATCATCTGAAATACAATCCATCCTCTAAATGCTTATCGTGGGCTGCATCACCGGGAGCCTGTCCCACGTAACACAGCACATAAGGCTGGGGACACCCTGGACAGGATGCCAGTCCATCGCAGGGCATCAGGCCGGGTACACCCTGGGCAGGATGCCAGTCCATCGCAGGGCACATACACCCCCAAAAAACATCATAAGCTTTAGACATTTTAAAGACACCAGTTACCCTAATTGGACGTCTTCTGAATTGTGGGAAGACGCCCGCATGATATGGGGCAAACCCCAGACAACCAGGTGGGATTCAACCAGGTGGGAATCAACCAGGTGGGATTCAGCGGGTGGGATTCAGGGGGTTAGCCCTGGAGGTGTGAGGCAACAGCACAGCCACTGAAATCGAAGCAATAAATCAAACATTTCTTGTCTGGTTGTATGGGGAACCCCACACTTTTTCAAGAGCCACCGGCATATGTCAGATAATGCTTTATAACTAAAAAATACAACTGTATAAAACTAAACGAAAGGGGTAACATACAATACTGCAGCCTGTCGGCCAACCCTAACCCTACATTTTCCTGCCTTCGTATACATCAAAGCAAGCCAGGAGCCACAGCCGTGTTTTGCAAGCAGACTAAGCTAACAGGTGACCAGTGCAGACAGCAAAGTCTAGACTGGTAAATTAATTCACACTACAAAAAGCAACAAAACCGTAAGACATAGTATTTAGCTTCTATCTGAACAATCACAAAAGAAAAAAGGGTATTCATTCCATGTGGGTGTTAATAAAGTCTGATTTTTTCACTAGAACAAAGGGGCACTTAAACAGTGAATATTTCCAAAAGTCCTAATTTTTGTTAGTTGTTCTTATTGAATCTGCAAATACAGAGCTTGTCCATTAACTCCAACAAAACGAAACATGTAAGACATCCATTTTCACATAGTTTTATCAATGGTGCTTTTTGTATAGAGCACATGGAAATAAATATACAGTCAATCTTACTCAATAAGGAGACAAGGACTAAAAAAAATTCTCGCAAAACTATGATGGTTTTTCTAAAGTGAAATGAAAAATAAATTCAAAAACATTTAAGCTGCCAGTTTCAGCACACAAAAATAATACTTCCCATTTATTTACCTCTATAAAGGTACGTGTGTGCAAATGTCACAAAATTTATCTTCATTACATAGTTGATAGTGCGTTTTAAAACATGTAGGCCTGCCTCAGTCTTTCATGAAATAATCTGAACAAGTTTTATATACTAACAATGGAAACAGAATAGATGCAAACATTCCCTGTTTTTTTTTTAAAAAAATCAATCCAGGTCACTTTCTACAAATATAAATTTGTATTCATAAATATACTTCCAAACAGCTAAGGTATACCTTGCGGCATTCTTTTGTGATGCAGAAGTCGATTGGCAAAAAACTTATGATGAAGGCACCCATAAACTTCAAGGAAGTCTAAAGGCCAGAGGTTCAACCCAAGAATGTGGAAGGCAATGGAAAAGCACATTTCACTCTGTGCAATGAAAACTTACACCTCCTGTCTTACATAAAACACCGTAGAGGAACTCTCCAACTCCGAGTGCAGAGGGTGAGTAGGAGGGCATAACTCATTAATGCATAAACACTGCTGTGCGTGTTACATCGTGACAGCCAACACATTCATCAGGAAACCCAGGTACGGATCGAACTTCTGTACGACGGCGCTCTCTGATCTGCGTCCTCTTGGCAGGGTCATGGGAGGGGCATGGAACCACTGGCAGGTCCCCAAAATGTGCCGTCGAGACTCATAATCTACTGAGGGGACCCTTTCTCTCCAATCTGTTAAATCTACCATTTGCCAGAGGTTCCAGAAAATTGAGCTACGCTGCTGTCTCTTGGTAAATGCTTCAAAAATTTAACTGGGTAAAAAAATCATTTTTCTGAGATAAAATACCACCGCTTAATATCATTCAAAAGCAAGTCTATGCTAACCATATATAAAAATACCTGCAGGTTATATATATATATGAAAAAATAAGATCAGTTCTCCTAACATATATAAAAGAAATAGAAAAACATCTTTGATGGATAGAAAATGGCTGTTTTCCTGTTGTCACCAACGTAGCAGGGATGTCTTTGGTGTTACATGACAGCGCAGCTCTCAGCCCTGGGACCAACCTGTGGGCAGACAGAATGGGAGGTGGGCAGGTCAGGGGGTAGCGATGTGCAGGCTTCGGGCAGTCAGCAAACTGCAACTGTAATTCGTATATAAATCACATATCACAGCTAACGAGTTTGGCCGGGTTCTAGAGTTCATGTTCTGTTCGCTAGAGAAGCCGGGTGGCATTTTGTGCCACTTCATGCCCGTGGTACTGGGCACACCTGGCTGTCCTGAAAAGGCCCAGGGTGGGGCCTCTCAGCCAATAGGGAGGATGGAGGGGGCCTGGGAGGTGGACGTTCCCATGCCAGATGAAGGCTTATCCTCCTTACCGAGAAGCCGTCAGATGGCCTGCCCTCACCTGCCGGGGCATGTTGCTGCCCACCACATAGGAGTGGGAGATAAAGCTCTCCGGGAGCCCCCCTCCGCTGCTGCCGCTGCTACGGAAGGAGCAGGCCGTCACCGAGCTGCCGGAAGCCTTCTCAGACGGCTGGCCGCAGGAGCCGCAGACCACGGTGCGACTGCGCAGGTTGTACTCGCCGTCGGTGCAGGTGCTGTGTGCTGCCTGTAGGGGGAGACACACAAACACTACGTGACTTGGGGAAATAGGTTTCCCAGATTTCGGGAGCTTTTTTATACGTGCATTAAAAAGTATGTTAAAGAGGAAAAGATTCAGCAAAATGCGGCAACATGAATCCTTTGGGTACAAAAAAAGCAACACTAATCGCAGCATTGATACTATGATCAATCGCCTTCATCAACAGTTTATGGTTAAATGCATAGATTATTCTAGATCCTATTTAGGGGAGCTTAAGCGCCCTATTTTTTGTCTCTACCCTCCTGAAAAATTATTATTCTAAACCCATTTAGTGATATTATCCCATATCTCTTGAGTGCTGAACCTCCCCCCAAGGGTCAAATCCTAGAATTACCCCCTGATTAAATGTATATACTGTTGAAGGACATTTCCAGCTTCTTGGAGCACATACCATATCATCATCGTCATCTACGTCATGGAATAGTGTGCGTGTGACCTTCCTCGCTGCCATCTCCTGGTCAGATCAGGAAAAATAAGAGACTTTAACAGCTGAATGCAGGAAGAAAGTTTATATTTAATCCAGCTGTACCAACCTCCCCACTGGTGTTGATCAGAGTGGTTTTAAATTGGTCTCCAGTTCCCCACGAGCTCTGGGTCTTCCACACCAGGTCAGAAGGAGGACTATGTGTGCCACCTGCTCCTGAGGCCCAAATCTGGGCAACCAAAAGAAGGGAAGTCAGCAAAGAAGGTAACTTCACCTCTTCACTGACTTCTGCAAGGCTTCATCTCACTGCTGTCACAACACTGATCTAGACCAGTTTTTCCCAACTTGATCCTTGGGGACCCACAGACAGTCCAGGTTTTTGCTCCCTGCCAGTCTACATTTTTGCTCCTAAAACTCCAATAAAACTTCCAGTCAAACTGAAAAGGGTGAACAGTTGTAGCTTCTGTACATGTATAAAATACACAGAGACTCTAGTTTCACAAGTAAACCTGACATATAAAGAATGAATAATTTATACTTTGAGATGTGCCCAGTGATCGGATACTATAGTGAAAGCACATCAGCACATACCGTGACGGACTGGCCGGCCTTCAGGATGAATTTTGGGGGAAACTTGTACACAATCGGGGTCTGTGAGCCAACCTGCCTCTTCACCTGCCAGTGGCCCATGGGCTGGTCCTATATAAATTACAGACATTGTATTGAAATATTACATGTAATATGCTAACAATGAGAAAAACAGCCGGCAATAATATAATTGTATAATACTAGAACATGTTGGACATACAGCTTAATGCTAATATTGTACTACAATAAATATTGGATAAAAATATTTCAGTTTTCAGGTATTATCAAAGTAACAAAAACATATATTTTTACTAAAAGGGAATATAGCTCATTATTTGCACATTATCCTTCCTCTCCTCACCTGATCAGACTTGTTGCCGAGCCGCACAAACTTCCCATCAAGGTCAACCTCATCGACGGTCACACGGCCGCTGGCAGAGGCCTGTTGTGAGATACGGGTGCGTGCCACAGCGCCCCCTACCATGCTGGAGGTCTCACTATCTGTGTCGTTCATACGGCGCTTCTTTGCAGAGGAGCTCTGGCTGCTGGACTGGACAACGCGGGAGTGAGTGGCAGACCCCGAGGTGCGGGACGTAGCTGATCGAGCGGGGGGTGGGCTGGGGGACAGGCGCAACCTGAGAAGAAAGGAACAGAGAGGGCAAAAGGAACTTTAATTATGAGAAAGATCATCAACCTAATAAAAAAGAATATTAAAATGTAGCCCCATAATGGCTGAAAAATGGCTGAAAAGGTTAATTTTCTTATATCTGCATAATTAGATGATGGATGTGTAAGTATAGAAATGCCTCTATACAAAGTTTTACGTGCTTTAAGCTCACATTTTGCAAGTGTATATGAGAGGGTGTCACACTAAAAGTACATGAGGATCATTTTCTTTGACTACCGAAGATTATAGAACAGTATAAAGATGCTCTCTGACATAATAAGCAGCCATCGACCCTCGACCCCTGAGCTGACCTCTCCTCCTCGCCCTCCAGCAGCTTCCTGTAGGCGCAGATCTCCATGTCCAGGGCCAGCTTGATGTCCAGCAGCTCCTGGTACTCGTCCAGCTGCTGCTGCATGCGCTGCCTCATCTCCGCCATCTCCCTCTCCTTGTCGGTCAGGAGGCGCCTCATGGTGTCCTTCTCCCTGGACAGGGTCTCCTCCAGCTCCCGCACCCTGGCATCCCGCGCCGCCAACTGGCACCGGGAGAGGGCACTAGCTTCTCATCTATCTCAGCACTCACTCACTCACTCCCTACGGGTATCGCACTCTCTGGTGATCATGGCAGACGACCGCGCATGTCAGCTCCCTCTGAATCCCAGTGCTTCCACAGGGTGACATAACTGATTCTCTGTCAGCGTGATTTTGCTGGATCCGTCATCGCCAGCTTTCCAGGCGATTTGCCTGACGGACTGTCAGCACACCGGAGAAAACTCACTTTCTGAGGAACAACGTTAATTTTTAATGGCGGCAAGCAATCGGCGGTCAAATGATAAGAGGCCATCTTCTATGAAAAGTCTGACGGTGTTTGTGGTGCCCACCAGCAGGGGGCGCCGTTTCCTCACGGCGCGGCTCACCTGCTTCTGCAGCTGACTGAGCTGGGAGGACAGGGACTCCAGCCGCACGCGAGTCTGCTGGAGCTCCTCGTGCGCTGCTGCTACCAGTTGGCCGTTCCGGTCGGCCGATTGGCGGGCATTGTCGAGCTGGCGAACACAGACATACAGCGGCGAATCAGGGGACCCATAGGCTGGACCTTGCTTGGTAACCAACCAAACCATACTTTCATCACAGTAAAACGGAATTTATTTTATTTTCTTAATAATCTCTATACTTGATTGGGTAGCAGCTTAAAAATTATCTTCCAAAAAATGACAAAAAGGAACAAGGAAGGTGAGCTGATATATAATAAAATGTAATAATATGGCATAAATAATATAATATAAAACTAATGGACTGTAGTTTACATTTTTTTTTCCAATAAACAGGTAAGAAAAAACAAGAAGCAAGAAAAGTTGATATATAACAAAATATAGCAATGAAATATATCTAATGTCATAAGAATATATTACAATTTACAGTATTAATCAAAATCATATTGGATCATGGATTACAAAGTACCAATCCTCTATTGTCAATATTGCCAATACTGAAGAAAGTCATTAATACAACACCACAGAAAATAGTGAATTTTCCATTGCTACCTCATATCACAGCACAGCAGATCCTGGGTTTGCGATGATGTCACCAAGGCTGAATGACTCACATTCCCGTTCTGACTGAATAAGCTTTTCTTTTGCCCTGGGTTTTCCATAAAACTCACCCGCATTTTTCCAGTCACAACAAACCTGACATCAATGTTGCTCTTGATAAAATATTCACAAATGTCACAAAAAGCTGGGCGTCGGCCCACAGAGCCATGCATCCAGTGGGACTGCACTATGACGGGGCTGAAAAACATCCCTCAGTGTGCAGCTCTGCGGGTTAGGAATCTATGCAAAGGTTGTGAGTTCAACTCCCATGGCTGGCTGAGTGACTGCATCACTACTGGACCCGTGAGCAAGACCCATAACCCCAATGTCTCCAGAGCTGCGGCCTGACACTGCTCTCTGATCCGCACTTGTGCTAATGACGCAGCGATTCTTGCATCTCATGTTGCACAGGTGGTTTATCAAGCATCAGACAGTGTGAGGAACATCCCTACTGACAAGGCCACCGTAAGGCATGCCTGCGGAGAGAGAGGAAGCAGCATAGCCTTCGATACACGGCAGACGTCTATGAGGAAGCAACCATGGGACTGGACTCTGAACATGATCTACCTGCAAAGTGATATTCTGAAATCACATTAACCAGTGCTACTTTTCTCATTTGAATAATTCAGTAATAATTGACTATGGAGGCTTGTTTAAGTAGCGACCAATTCCACAGCTAATAATACCAATTATGCATTGTACACTTGATCGTGTAAAAATCATGCTAGATCTAATACAGACAAACTGATTTAAAAAAAGCCACCTACTGAATTTACCCATACTTAGTAACTAGAAGAATAATCAAATTCTAGAGAAGATTAACATTACAATGCTGAAGCACATATGTCAGTTAATAGAGACTGTTCAGGTTATTCAGATTGTTTTTATTTTCCTTTTGGGTTTAAATCAGGGCCATTCTATGATTTCGGCCCCCTGAAGAAATATAGGACACCGTCCCCATAGTCATGCGGAGGTAAATATCAATGAAAATATTGGACAAATTACTAAACAGAGTTATAGGAATTATTTTTATGGGGGCTGAAACAAAAAGAAGGGACACTAAGCCTCATAAATAGGGTGTAGAACCGTCTGTGGTTTAAATTCAGCCATGGAGAGTGAGGAGGTTCCGTGCCGACCTCCACCTGCTCCTCCCTGAACCCCAGACAGATACCAAGCGGGAGTCTTACGCCGAGCGGAATCCCCAGCGAACCCCACGCAGGCGACCAGGAAGCTCCATTCCGATCCCTCCTGCAGACTCTCTCTAATGACACAGCTTCTCATCCAACCCAGTGCCCCCGTGGAGTAGCCCAGTGGCCCCGTGGAGTAGCCCAGTGCCCCCGTGGAGTAGCCCAGTGGCCCAGATCATCAGCGCAGCCGAATCTCTTCACACCTAATTTACGAGGACAGCTTGCCCGCCGTATGGCATCGGCGCCTCTGAATGATGCATGAGGAACAAAGACAAGACCTACCAAGACCTTTTGAAATCTGTACTTCTTGAATATATATTGATATTCATTGGGTTGTACCTTGGAGCTGTAAGTCTTCTCAATGTCATCCTTGTAGAGCTTGAGCTGAGTCTCGTGCTGGATGCGGAGCTCGGCCAGGGCCTCCGCCAGCTTGCTCTCGAACTCCTGCTGCCGCCCCGTGTCGATCTCCACCATGCGGGACTCGTGGCGACGCTTTGACTCTCGCAGCTCCTGGAGGGGAAGCGAGCATCAGGATGAGTTCACCACCACGAGGTCATGCCGGGTGCCAGAAGGTGACGCGTGTGTGGGTGTGCATGAGTGGGTGTGTTATTTAAGCATAGCACACCTATGATCACACAGAAATGCAACAGGGTAAAAGGACGCATAACAGACCTTCTACTCTTGAATTACTTTTATCCCACATAGTCAAAGTTTAAGGATAGTGTGCAGCTAAAAGAGGTAGTAGGGCTGTAAAGATACATGTATTAGTCATGTACTGTGTCTCTCTCAGTTCGGTTTGCACAATAGAACAATCATTAGAATAATCACTGACACTGGCGGAACCTAAATTCACAAGTAGATGATCAACACCAAAAACCTTATGCTAATTGTGACTGTGAGTTGGTTACGGCTAATGCTGCTTACAGTTATACAGAACTCGGTATGTTGCTGGGAACACATCCAACATGCTAACTCATTTGAGACAACGGCATCCGAGTGTATGACCGGAGCGAAGCCGAAACAGCCTCTGTCTCCCCGTGGCATTTAAGGCACTTTTGCCAGGAAATTCAGGCCGGGCTAAAAAATCACTTCGGCTACAGAGGTGTTTAATGCTACAAATATGGGACCATGGTAGTTCTTTATTACTGCAATGATGTTACAGTAATATAACAGTAAATGATAGCAATAAATAATAAATATTTTTATTTTACGTAACCTGCTTATTCTTATAATGTGCAAATACCATCTGCAGTTCAGACTAGATAATCCACTGGAAGCTAAGCAGGTTTGGGCCTGGCCAGTACTTGGATGGGAGACAAGCTGGGTTGCTGCTGGTGTGGCCAACAGGTTAGCCCATCCTGTGGTCAGTGTGCGTCCCAATGCCCTAGTGTAGGTGCTGTCCTTTGGATGAGATGTAAAAACTGCAGTCCTGACTCTGTGAGGTCAGTGATGATCCATGGGCATCTTTCGAAAGCACAGAGGTGGCACCCTGATGTCCTGGCTGAAAGTGCCCACTGTGGCCCTATCAGATCTGGCCTCCTAACCATCCCCTGTATCTAATGAGTAGATTATCTCCTGCCCCTCTGCCACCTTAGATACCATGTGGTGAGTGTACTGGCAGAATGGCTGCTGCTGCATCATCCAGGTGGGGGTGCCCCTTTGCTCCTGTAAAGCACTTTGGGTTTTTGAAAAAGCACTATATATATAATGCATGTATATATATAAAACATTCATTCAAATAAGTGTCTCTTAGCTTTTTGTTATTCAGATACATCGCCTTTGGCTTACAACCGGCCCAAATTGTGCTTGCAGTTTTAATAATAAATAATAAATAATGTTAATTATGTTTTCCTTGCTGTACCAAAACTGCATCATATTGTTAACCCTAAACCAAGGTTTGTACCGAAACATGAATTATGTGTTACATCCCCAGGAGGCAGTATTATTACCTAACACTGTCATTCTTTACTTGACAGGGCACAAATAATATAGTATTATGCTGTTACTTATTTATTAATCAATCACAAACTAAGTCTTAGTTACATACTGATCTCATGTTACTTCATCATTAATGTATGCATGTTTTATTTCAAACTATATTTGTTACATTATCTGTTAATTCTCTACACCTTTGTGAACTACTGAAGGAGCAAGTAATGAATAACACAAGTCAAATACTGGTCTAATGTTTGACCATCGTTAATGAATCATGATGATGGCCGTTCCTACCACTGAGGACACCAAGGTCAAGGCCTCAGTATGTTTTCTGCAACTCCAATAACCATGATTGAGTATGGGGGCACACCTAGGGGAAGGTAGCACTTTTGACCTCGGAATTTAAAAAATCCAGAATACCGCCCTGATCATGATTCAACTTTTATCCCAAGCAGTTACTATATTTGTTGCTGTATCTGTTAATTCTGCAAACCTTTGTGCGCTACTGAAGGAACATGTCATGAATAACATGAGAAATACTGATGTCATGTTTGTTCATCATTAATGGATCGTGACGTATCTTTTCTCAAGTAGCAACTATATTTGTTCATGATTTGTGCTTCAGCAGAAACTGAGTTATTACTAAGGTTTTGTACCCTGTTAAGTAAAATGTTACCGCTGACACTGGCAAGGTCGGCGTCTTGACTTCCACGCCTGCTCTGTGTGCAGAGCTTGCATGCTTTTCCCTGTGCTGTGCAGTTTTGTTCTCACAGTTTCTAAATTATCAATGTGTGAGTGTGTGTCTGTGACCCCCCGGCCACCCCACCCAGGGTGTCCAGGCACACATGGTACTAGTGGAGGTTGCAGGCAATAAAAGTTGACCTGGGGGGGAGGGGAGGGGAAGGTTGGCAATGGTAAAACTTGAAAGAATCAGGGAGGGGGGTACGTCCATGAATTAACGCACCTCCAGCACCCGGACCTTGGTGACCCTGTATTGGATAAACTGCGTTTGATGCATTTAAATGTACATACATGTCAATTAGGCTGTAAATGCTCTGTTACAAAAAAAATGTAAAATAATTATGTTTTATGATTAGGATTTTAACCTTTACTCCCTGCTTGGCTGCTGCAGCATCATGCCTCTGCATTTCATAACTCCCACGAGGGTAACTAGACAGCAGATGTTAAACAGCATCTGGGACCTGGAGCTGTAGCTCTCACCTCAGAGTAGATGTTCTTCTGGAAGTCCAGCTCCTCCTTCAGTGTCTGGATGCGGTTTTCTGCATCCACCCTCCTCAGCATCTCGTCCTGTAGCTGCTTCTTGGCATCGCTCAGGGCCCCCTCCATCTGCCATGACATCGAAAAAGGCCAGAGGGTGAAAGAATATAAGTAATGCTCCAGATGACCACTGGGTGGGGCTATTTAGCATTCTCTAACACAGCAATGTGCAGTGAACAACACGCTGTATTACAGTTATACTGCTAACCTTCCCAAGTTGCACATTTTTACACAAATAATCAATTGACTAAGGGTTTTCAAAATATTTTCATAATTGACATAAATAAACTTGTGTATTTGTTATTGATAGAAGTTGGCCAAAATGGATTATATCTCAATTTAGATGTAGAAATTGAAAAAGATGTGTTTTAGAGGGGCTTGAGTGCTATCTATCCATCTAGGTTGTTCGGCTGGGAGTTCCCTAATTTTGATGACATCAGCCGTAGAAATGTCGGGCTTCTCTCGAATACAATGGGAGTGAGTGGCATTCTATCTGTGGTGATTAAAGTGCCAGAAAAATACATAAAAAAAATCAATAGCAGTGTCTCTTACCAGAAATCATGACCTGGTTATTGAAGATAATCCACAGGCTTCGTAGTAAGCAGTTTAACCTAGGAACTGTTTTCTTCTACAGAACTTCACACACTAGTCGTATCACTGCGCAGAAGATACGAGCACGAGCAGCCCAGTGCTATCTTCTGTGCAGTGCTATTGGGGTGAACGGCCCCTTCAAAGCTTAGGGGTGTACTGGTGTGAATTTGTTTTGGTTTTATTCCTTCTAACTGTACGTTACCCCATGATTTCAGGAATAGACATCTGCACAAAGCAATTATTAAAAGAACTATGTAGGCATAACTATGTAGACGCAGTGTATAATCAGTAACACTTTATATTAACCACACCTTCATAATGCATTCATTATGCATTCATAGCACATTCAGTGCACCTTCATAATGCATTCATTATGCATTCATAGCAAATTCAGTGCACTTTCATAATACTTTCATAGAACATACAAAAGCAGCAGGTAAATATACCTAAACATCCTAACATGCCTTAACAGCTTAAAAATACATTAATAACAAACATTATATGATTGTGCGATTATAATGTTTGTTAATGTATACTATAGCTGTTAAAGTATGTTAGGATGTTAAGATGCACTTACATGCTGCTTATAAATACTTTATGAATGCATTATGAAGGTGAACACCGAATGTTCTACAAATGCACTACAAAGGCATTATGAAGGTATATCATAATGTTATCATATAATAATTTCAAAATAACAGAAGCCCATGTATTATTTTAAAAATGACAGTTAAAAACAGAGCATTGGTTACTAACCATCAAACAATATGAAAATATATGCCAATTGGCCACATTTATCCTCATATGCTTGACATGCAGGGTCTCACCTTGGCCAGCTGGGCCTTTAAGTCCCTCACTTCAACCTCCAAGGTTCGCTTCTCTCCCAGGGCTGTGGTCAAAGAAGCATCCTTAGAGTTAAGAAGGGCTTCCAGATCCTTCAGGCGAGACAGAGCGGCCTCCAGGTCCGACTCCTTCTTAGTGTTTCTGTGAGGTACAAGAAAGTAAACATGAGCCTTCCGTAAAAATGTCTGAAATATTGGTTCTTCTTGTCTTTCAATAGTGCCACTATGAGGGTAACGTCTCTCACTCAAACCCCTCAGGAGTCAGCAAAGAATGTTTGTTAACAAAGGGATCATTATTTACATTCACCGAGAGACTAAAGCTCTAGATATTACTGTAGGAAGCTTGGGAAAAGTTAGAAAATTCACAAAAACTGCACTAGGATCCAATATCCTTGTACTGCAATTTTATCATCAATGTACGTAAAATTTATTATCTTCTGGGATAGTTTGGGACTTACTTTTCTCTTTTCACTGCATGTTGACTTCTCTGTAAATATGTGACCATGGATTTGATTAAACATATTGCCTAACCTCAAAGTATCTTCCCACAGTAAGATCAGAGTCCAAAAAAACTTAAACTATTGGCTAAATCAATGGTTAAGTGTTTAGAGAAACACCATTGGTGGTCAATATATTCTACTGTGTCATTTGCAAAACTATTGTTTAGAGGTGAATACCTTCATATAAATGTTTAAAAGATAAAACAAATGTACTCTGAATTTGTATTTACTGATTTTCATTAAAGCTTAATTTGCTATGTGGTAAAGTCAATTAAAATACAAATTGGAACTCTTGAGTTGGAATCAAATTTGCTGTTGTGAAGAGTTTCTGGGTATTTATACCAAATACTGCAAATGCATTTCAAATTATATCACTAAATCTGAATTTGTATAAATTTTCATACACATTTCCAAATCAATGCCATTGTTTAACCCAAACGATTTGATGTCTCCAGACCAGTATATTATAAATATCATCTCAGATATAAGTACACATAATTCTACCTAATAACTAAAGAATAGATGGAAAGGTAAATACAGATGAAATCTGAAAAGTCTTTTGTATCCTACTTATAAACGACAGACAAAAGGAGTAGATTACAAAATACCCCTACTTAGGAAAGGGTGGGGCAGTGAGAACAGAGTGGAAACCTTTACAGGAGTGTCTCTGTCGGTGACTCATAGTCATCCCCGCCCAAGCAGCTTCTGCTGGGTGTTTTGTCCGGCACGTTGCCATGGCAACATTTCTGCGTCTTTGAATTGTGTACAGAAATGGCATTCCTTTTGCCTTCTGGACCAAAAATGGATCTCCCGGTTCTCATCGTAAATATTTTTAAATTTCCCAAACTGTACAGACAGAGATTGGAGTCTCCACCACCGATCATGTAATGTTATATGAATTTACATTAGTTGGAAGCTGGAGCTGTAAGACCTGTACATCATGCTGATATTTGCTTAAGGACCCAAATCAACCCTACATTAGATTAAATGCCTAATATGCAAATGCAGCCAAGGGCTATTTACTTTCTGATAACATACAACCCAAAATATACACAACACAAAAATCTTGTTACATACATATAATACAAATATCCCTGTAGAAAATGTATCATTAATCATAATATTTGAACTATGTTTTGCAAAAATGACTGAAAAATCACTGGCCTAACAATTATGGTAGGCGGCATCATATAGAACCAGTAGACCAGTAACTGAGGATTACTAATAGTGAATTATTACAATACTTCTTATTTCTCTTCCTCTCTCCCACATACAGATTGGTGCAGCGAAAAGATTTGCTTCTCATAAAAAGAGAATTAGCAGCCATTACGGCCATGCGAGTGAATGCCTAGAGCTAAAATCCATGAATCAGAAATTCCTAAGTCTGCTAATGAAATGACCATCAGCTTCCTTTATTTCTATGTTGATTTTGTCCTTCCGGTTCTCATCATTACTTTTAAGAAAAGTTTCCCTTCGGGAAAGGCAAGACTTTAAAGTCTTAAATAGGGGGAAAAAAACGAGTGGCTGAATGGACGACGATCCATGGAAAAAGAAGCCAAAAATAGCACCAGAAGCGCTGAATGCCAAAGTGACTGAGTACGTCGTTTGTAGCGTGACTTTCAAACCCTCTGCTTAGATACAATTGCATACAGACATTCTCCGATAATTGAGGTGTCCATCACCCTTTCATTAGCCATCACTGGTTATCCAATTAAGGATGGTGATCCACAGCCTAACCCTAAAAATCCCAGAGCATAAAGCAATAGTAATGGCGGACAAGACTGGCCAGTCCATTATAAGATAACCGGTCAGGTACGTCAAAAGGCTGTCAGAACCTATTTGGCCCAACTAACCTGATTCGATGTGTTTTCTTAACAAACCAAGGACTGTATGCACGTGTGTGACTCATATTCTGAAATGGAACATGTTTTTTTTTTCTGAATGTTTCCAGTTCTGCTCCTAAGTTCTGTTTTTCTCTGTGACCAGGTCTCGCTACTCTGCTACAGTCAACTGCCTTTTGGACATGAATATAAAGGTGTAATACTCAAAAGGGCTTTTAAATGATTTAAAATATAAATTGTTCTTTAAATAAGTCAGACAGTTTTCTTTTTAAATTTGAAACAACAGCAGACTTGGAATAGCAGTCACGCAAACATTTTTCATTTACCTTCTCGCGATTGACACAGTACAGGGTATCATCCATCCATAAGGTGCTAATAATGTGTTTTGATACAACCCACTGCTGGTCCTGATATAACTAACTGACATTACTTAGGGCTTTTAGCTAAAGCAATATGCATTTAAGTGACCATCTATACAAAAGTCTTTTCATAACAAATGTTTACTTATGAATGCTTCACATAAGAACTAACATTCTGTGTTGGTGCATCTACTCTTGCTGGTAAGATTTTTTAAATTGTATTTCAAGTTTGGTATCAGTAACACTTACAACTGCAGGGAGTCTAATGTTTACATTTACGACGTGATTCTTCCACATGTGACACGACAGCTTGCTTTCACTTAGGCTCTAATGGGAAAAGCCTTGTACATTAGGGGCATTTAAAACTGACCTAAATGGTGATTACTATGCCCAAGAGATGCTGGGAAGTGGCTGCAGGATGCGGGATGTCGCTAAATGAATTTGCAAAGCATGAGAAGTTAACTTTCAGAATTGCAACTGTTTATGCATAACTATGCATTCAAAGCTCTCAATGCTGAATATAGGTATTTACAACATGCCATTTTTGCTTACATTACTGCACATAAAAATCTCTGCAGGTTCTAGATTTGTTTACTCAGTACCAGACCTAATTAGCTACATCTGTGGCAAAGTCTTAGAAATGGTTCCTTGTGTTTGGTGTCTTTCCAGCTGCCTCCTGTTACATGGAGCCAGGCTAGAGCTATGTTTACGGGCAGTGCTGCATTAGCGCTCTGGACGGACACCAAACCCTGTGGTTGCAACTGGGGACGTACTCAGAGAATCGACTTCTCACGGCCGGCTCTGCCACATGGCGTTGCCACGTGAGACTGAATTCTTCTATGGAAACCCCAGGCACATTTGTGTATGTATACGGTCGAGTTAGATTTACAGGTTTGCTTGTCCACCTTAGCACTTGCAGGATTAGAGGGATGCTATCAAAAGATATGATCCCAACAGCTTCTCATTCAAAGCAACCAAAGAAAGCCCCAAACTATCAGCCTTTGTGCTATCCACAAAGAGAGGAAATCCCTCATTGCTTCAATATAATTGTAAATCAGATGTATATCTGAACTGCTTCTTTTTCATAAGTGGGTAACAAATTCAAATTAAACTCAAGACTCCTCTCATGGTCAAGCTCCTCCACAACCCGCCTCAAAAGAAGCCTCCCTTAGAACAGAACACCCACATCTTAAAGCAATTAGCCTGGTGAGCAAGACTATGAGTCATGGACCTCGGACTGTTCCGGGAAGGAATCAAACACCATGGAAACTCTGATCCCAGCCTATTTCTCCACACAGACTCCTCCCCTGCCTGCCTATCCAACCACCCTGGTTCAGCTATGGCCCGAAACCATTTCTCCCTCAATAGAAATGCTCACAACACCATAATCAACAAAGAGGTTTCTGTAGGCCGGACCTGGGACAGATTTACAGCCTCTGCTTCTCATTCCCTCTTCCCTGCAGGGTTTAGTGTAACGAGCAGCCCTGGTGAAGAGAGCAAAGCAATACGACACCAAGCAGGACAGAGGGCTCCACTGGTCACACTGCAGGGAAGGTGGAACAGGGCGGGGCCTGCAGATGCAACAGACTTACAAGCGTCTAAAGCTTCTCGTTTTTCAAAGCCCGTCATTTTTAAAAAGACAAATAAAACCGAATTTGGCATTGACATGGGAGCTTCCATGGATGGTTACACAAAAAAAAAAAAACATTCCATTAAAACAAGGAAATGGCTATAACCGCAGAATCCTCACTATGTTCCCTTTGTCGTTAGACATCCATGCCCAATTCATGGCACACTAACCAAAAGTCATTTTACTGTAATGGTGCTGTGATGCTGTAAGGTCACTATTATTCTACACAGCATGATTTAACTAAGTTGTCTGATTAATAAAAACGAATGAATCGCTCTAGACTCCGTGTGCAAAAAACCACGGTAACTTCATCTTGTGATCGCTGGACTTGTGATGCTGTGAGGTTCCTCCATGGTGCTGGAGCACAATGCAAGGCTTGTTGTGTACACTTCATTGCCTGAACAAAGCACAAGTCTTACACAAGGTCATAAACATTAAAAACCAAAAAAAAAAAGCATTCGTAAAAGGAATGAATTGCAAAAAAATTTTACAAAGCAGGTAAGGCTATTATTGATACAGCAATTATGTATTAATTTCTTTATGCAAGACACATATTCCGTTTCACATATTTAACATTCTAAAACTAAATGCATGTTACGTCAAATCAGTTTTTTGTGAAGTCAGTCCGTGCAACGCCGTTCAGTTCAGATACTATGAATAACAGATTGCATAAACAAATCATTTAAATACGGTGAGATGTGAGCAAAACTAAAGGTGAAGGTGTTACATTAATTATGCAATTTTAAAATATTACTGTTTGAGGATTTTAAAAAATCAAAAAGATCTTGAAATCGATTAACTAGCCAAACTACCACATTGCTGTCTGAATCTCAATGCCTTCTCTGCTTGATTATTCCACTTTATGTTGCTGCTGCAAAGCAAACCCAGACTGATTTCACTGCCGCCGCGATGCCTGTTGCTGGTGTCATATTACAGGCAGGACCGTGTCTGACCCAGGAAGATCCTGGCAGATGCCTGGGAATGAAGGTCCTTCCACCATCATGCAAGGCATCCGTGCCAACTGGCAAGTGTCATGAAAAGTGGTCGTGTCGGGACATGTGGATCCAACACCCTAGGGGAGGCACATTTGCACACAGCCGCCTGCACCACACAAAGCCTGCATTCTGGGCCCACGGTGCCATTTGGTCTGCGCAGCTGCTGCAGACACACCCATCTATCAGAAATCTGTGCCACAAACAGGTTCGGTGCATCAGCACTGGATCTCTGCTTTCCCTCATTTGCCTTGGAGGGAAATTAACTTCGGTATTATTCATGCCTATTTGATAGCGAAATCCGAAGTCAAGGCAAACAATGCTTGGCAGCCTTCTGGAATGCGTTTCATTCAAATGGTCTATTTTATCTACGCTCCTGAAGAAAACGTGTTGAAAGGGTTAGAATATGCAACCACAGCCCCTATTGACTGACTTAAGTAAATAGTTCAAATGTGAGACAAACAGTTAAAGAATGATTTTTAAATTATACGGATATCCTTACCCCAGCAGCAAGGACAAATAACACTTTTGGATCATTCGAAAACTTTAAATATCATTAGCCTGACTTGTTGAGGCAGATACCAGTTATTTAATTGGAAGGTTGAGAGTTCAAATATGACAAGAGCCTCTTTATTTTGGGACGGTGTGGTCGTGGTTGTGGTCGTGGTCGTGGTCGGAAGAGTAATTTCACCGCTGGGCCCTATAGCAAGGCACTCAACTAAAAGTACTGCAAGGACTGTCTGACTCTGTACTGCAAGGACTGTCTGATTCTGTACTGCAAGGACTGTCTGACTCTGCTCTCTCAATTCTATGTCACTTTGGATAAATATATCCAATAAATAAAGAAATGTAAATGACCAGATAGTAAAGATTATTACTCTCTCACATGCTTAATTGTCTCGGGTTTTATTATTAGATGTTATTAATTCTAATAAGCTGGACACTGCATACAGTTTGGTATCTGTAACAACTTTTTCATCTAAACGTTTAGCATGAAAAAAGTAAATAGCTTCCTGATATTGTCATTGGTATTTGGGGTCTGATTAAAAATATGCAGATTCATAGTCTGCTAAAGAGATGTTTGACTTTTCCTATGAGTAACACAACAAGAGGATGGCATCACATAGCATGCGAGATTGATAAGGCATACTGGGAATTTTGGGGTTTTTGTGCTTAGCAAAAACTTATCAGGGCATATCTGCGTGCTGAGGCTGTGTGGGCTAAAGTACAGGGCTGATCGAACAGACCGGACTGCAGCTCTGGATCTTTCCCTCAGAAGGAAATGTGACTCAGACTGTGTACAGCCACTGGCCAGTCTGACACTCACGAAGTGCGGCATCAACAAAAGCTGGCAGGAAACAAAACTCAAAATGCAAAACAATGACATGATGACCAGCCACGATTAAACAGCACTGCATGCCAGCCAGGCTCCGTCTGAGTCAGAGCTGCGCTAGGCCTCTTCGCACAGTCCAGCCGGAACTGCGAAAACCCCCATAGCAACCAAACACTGAGGAACACAAAGCCGGCCACGTGGGAGACAGGGAACGCAGCAAAGCATTTCTGCATGTCTGTGGTGGCAGACTGGGCGTGGCTCCCCTTCACATTCTCCACTGCGGAGCAACGCATCCAAAATAGATATCAGAAGGTATTTATGTTTCCGCAATACAAAATGCATCTCACAGTTTGGGCTTACGCAAAATTTGCACACAGACAAGGTGCTAATCACATTGTCACCACGTAATCAATGCCTGCAGTTGCATTATTTCCTATAGCAGGCCACAAAACATTTGAGTACCGGCTGCAGGCCTGCGCAGCACTCTGTCAGCCTGACTAAGGCATGCACGCCACCACGCCCCGCAGGTCCTCACTCTGGTACTCTATGTGCCCAGCTGGCATGCAGAGGTTCGAGTTGCATAATGAGCATTTCACTGTGAATCACTATTCAGTCCTGTCAGTCACTCTCCGTTTTAGTCCAACATTTTCAACATTTTTGTTAAAGGTCATGTGGCACGTAGTTTACTGCATTATGAAAGTTGACTACTAACCAAACCAGGGAAAAATCAGGGTTTTTTAAAACACAGATAGACTGTCATCTATTGCAAATAATATTTTGCACACATGCATGCCCTTTGCACACATGCATGCCCTTTGCACACATGCATGCCCTTTGCACATATGCATGCCCTTTGCCCTTTGCACGCCACGGTCATACCGTGTCTGTTCAGGTTACATAATTTTCATTTGTGATACATACATTTCCTTGTTTAATATTTGCAATATAAGAAAATTTGTTATATAGTATTAACAATATAAGCACAAGAACTGGACTTCTGGGAAGAAAAATATAAAATAACAGATACAAACAGAGCTACATAGTGAATAGCCTAGTTCTAGTCAATAGAATGTCCAAATAGCTTATGTGATTGTACAATATAGAGTGTTTTGATGAGTACTTTATGAAATGATATACATTTGTCCATCCATCTGTACGTCCATACATCCATCCATTCATCCATCCATACATCCATCCATTCATCCATCCATCCTCCAACCACTTCTCCCGGTTCGGGTCATGTGGTGATATACATTTATAAATCATGTAAACTATATACATTTGATAGTTATGATATTCAATTATTTTATTTATAGCGTAGCTCCAAGTTATTAGACAGCAGCATGTGACTGCGAAAGCATGTCCGTCTGTGTGTTCAAACGTGTCATTTCCTGTGATTGTTACCATAACACTCCAGCTATTTAATGTGTCTCACTCTGAAACAGCAATAACTCCCTTCAGTCCTTCATTCAGCATTGGCAGCATATGCAGCCATGACTGCAGTTTAGCGAGTTCTCCAGGTCAGCTGCTGTTCAAAGCAGAACGAAGACTAAAAACCACTTTTAAGCCCTTTTAAGGTTTCAGAATGGGAGAGGCTCTTGTTCAACACATCTCTGTAAGATGACATTCCAACAGCGATTTCATGATACACAAAGCACAAGACCCTGTTCAAAAGGATGAATAAACATCCGTAGCGACAAACCCACAGCTTAATGGTAATTGTGATCATACTGATTAAGTTTTTTTCCAATGGTGTTAAATTCCATCTAATAAGACAGTAAACCCCAATACTTTATTACTGACAATAAAAAGTCAATGAAATGTTTTTGAGCAACCAAGCAAAACAACTGTTGGCTTCTATCAGATCCTCTGTGTAAGACACATACAGCGAAGCATCTGGCTAGCGCTCACACTGAAGGCCTTTAGTATGTATATACATCTCTCATAACTGAGAGACAGGAAGGATGTGTAAATATTATTGTTGGCATTTGGGCTGAGGTGTTGAGGGTAAATGGAACATCTGACACACCTCCATTAGGTTTGGGAGAACAGGACTGAGGGACAGAGACAGAGACAGAGAGAGAGACATCCAAAGAAAGGATGCTGTGTTTCCCAATCCAGTCCGTGGAGACCTCTACCAGTCCATACTTTTGCTCTCTCTCAGCTCCCAACACACCTGTACTGGGTATTCTGTGTTCTTGATTGGCTGGGGACTGGAAGGGAACAAAAATGTGGGCTGTCTGGAGGTCACCATGGACTGGGTTGAGAAGCACTGTTCTATAGAGAACGATGGCTTTATAAAGAAGGATGAATAAGAAATGCCAGGAATAACAATGAATGGGGTGCAGAATAGAGCCCTCTTTGAAAACATGCCACCATGGAAGAACAAAAGAACGAATGAAGGAAGATGAATGAAAACATCATAGTGAGATTCGTGCTGAGTGAAGAAGCCATACAGGGTCACGTGCCCTTTGACGTCCTACCTGGCCTTGAGCTCCTTGTACTCCTCGCGCACCTTGCCCAGCTCCAGCTGCAGCCGCGCCCGCTCTTTGGCCACCGAGTCCAGCGTCTTGCGGGCGTCGGCCAGCTCGGTCTCGTAGGCGGCCTTCATGCCGGACAGCTCGCGGCTGACCTCCGTCTCCGACTCGGTGATGCGCATGCGCAGCCCGGCGTTCTCCAGCTCCAGCGAGCGCACCTTGTCGATGTAGACGGCCAGCCGGTCGTTGAGGTTGCTCAGGTCCTCCTTCTCCTGCAGACGCGTGATGCGGTTTGGGGACATGGCCGCCGTGCCGCTGCGGGTCCCTCGCTTCTGACCAGGTGTCTCCATGGGGTCCCGAAAATAATTCTGGATTTGCTGTTGCAGGACTGGAAGATTACAGGTAAAAAGTTAATATATGCATTACGCACCACGTGTAGATTAACCTTTACAGACATCCCACCTTAGACATAATGATTTCAGGGAGAGAGATGAGGGACAACCGGGGGTGTGGGGGTGGCTGCTGGCTATGCTTGGCCGGTACTATGATTATACCTCCCCCACTCAACAAGTTTTATTGGGGAATGCCAGAGCAGCAGTTCTTTTTAAAACACCATCAAAATACCATATACCCTGGTATAATGACTGAATGGTATTATGGTTTTAAAAATAAGATTCTGCCTAAGCTTGCTGGGGTTGCGGCTAATTTTTCAGCGGGACAACTATTTCCGGGACATTGGGCATCATCCGCAGGTGTCTTGGCAGCTGCTGTCAATCTGCAGGAGACTCGCAGAACTTCCGGAAGAGATGGCCTTGACTGAATGTCCTCAGAAGCTGTGTATCTGGAGGTTTGGCCTACCAAGCTAACATTACCTTAGCAGGTCGATGATTGAATCAGATACAGCTGTAGATTACAACAAAGGTCTAATCTGCAAAGATAACGTGCTTCTTCTCAGTAGGTTTATGTTCATCTGTACACAACAGTAGTAGGCAATCTTATCCATCAAGGGCCAGTGTGTGTGCAGGTTTTTGGGATTCAGTCAGCTGTTCAAACTCAGGTGTGAGGGTCAATCAGTCTAATCTAATCAGTAATCTAATTAGGGAGTTGCAGCGAAAACCCGCATACACACCGGCCCTTTCTGGATTAGATTGCCTACCCTTGGTGTAAAACGCCCACAAAAAGCTAACAATTGGCCAGATTATTACTGATCATTTTAGCCAGATATTTCGAATCAGGGCTACAGAACATGCTGCCGCTCTGTCAGATACTGGCAAAGTGTCCCAGAAAAGGCCCGGCTGGGTTAGCTTCCTCTACAGTATTATCCCCCTGGCTTTTCTCGGCCTGTCTCGTGCGGCCCACCCTCTCTCTCTCTCTCACGGGCTGCCTCTGAGCTGTCCTTGGAGCTGCCTGAGGAAAGGCAGCTGTCCCATTCTGCAGCACTGACTCACAGGCAGGGCAAACAGGGCGCAGCAGCGTAATGATACCGTGCTGAAAGGTTCATGCAAGGCAGCCTGACGGGAGACTTTCCACGTCGATGGAAAAGATAACTACGCTAGCCGAAACTCTCGGGCATCAGTGCTATAAGCTACCTAAGGGCAAATTTAACAACATTTCCCAGACTGACAGACGTTCCTTAAAGTCCACAAGCCAAAAACAGGGGAATCTGTGCCGCTGTGAAGCATGTGACATCATGCATGTCACTCCAGCTGTTCTTGTTAATGACTATGCAAAATTATCATGAATTGTGTAATAAAATATGATTCAGAATCATAACACTCATATATTTTGCCCCAGTAACATACATTACTCATTATACCCAGGTCGACTTCAGCTGCCACTTCGACAGTTCAACTCACAGATCCGCTAGGGATGAGGAGAATTATTTTTAACAACTTGGGAAGGAGGTTAACGGAGATCAGATTTAAAGAGCAGGTGTCGGTTTACCTTGCTTGTGCCCTGGAGTGAAGGTCCCCTGCAGAGATGAGACAGACTTTCTTGGAGAAGATAGGCTCTGGGGAATTTCACTGCCTCTGTGCAGTCATAGGATTTCGCAGGCTGCTGTGCTCAGCGAGGACTCCCTCCGTCTTTGGCTCCGGTTCCACACTGGCTGCCGTTCAGTCTTTCCCATGTATTTCTGGAGAGATCGAGAGGAGAGGGAGCGAGAGAGAGAGAGAGAGAGAGGAGAGAGAGAGTGAGTGAGCGAGGGAGGGAGGGGGGAAAGGGAGGAGTCAGATTTGCCTGGAAAGACAGTAAGTGCCAGTTATTGAGGGATAAAAATTTTGCTGTGGCTGACTTTCTTTTTCTCTTTTTTCTCTGTCAAAAGTAAAAACCAGAGACCACCGTTCCCAGTTACAGTGTCAGTCACTATGATTATCATAAGCAGAAGGGAACACTGGCTAAAACCCAGCATTTCTTCACAAGGTAGTAGACACCAGGTGAAAAAACTTTCCCTTTTTGTTTTTGTCCTTGCAGAAACATTACATATAGTCACATTACAATGTAATCAAAAATTTTCAAAACCTTCCCTCCTACCAAAACAACTGAGTAAAGAACAAAAAAACTGCCCTTATCCTTCACCTATGTTCTGTTTTCCATTCTTATTTACAATCAAGACAAATGTAATTTTACTCGGGACTATAGCGGATTGGCAGAAGGGATGCAGCCTTTCCTCAGGTTAGCTTCCATCAGTTCCAGTAGGTTAGAATCATGCGCAGAATTAGGTATCTTATGGCTGAGGTCAGCTGTGGTCAGGGAGCATGAATCGTGTCAGGCTGTGGATGACATACCTCTGGGTTCTGTGTCAGGAGTGTCACCGAAAGGCTGTCACTCTGAGTCTGTCTCCTGCTATGTCAGGCATTCCAGAACACAGACCTCCTATTGTTCTGCAGCATTTCTTCCAGGCTGAACTGGAATCAGATCATGCTTATCCTACAGTTTTAGTCTGATATTTTAAGGGTGGCATTAAGTTTTCACCTATGGATAACTGAGGCTATAGTTATGCTCTCTGCGGGTAACTCAGGCTAAGAGGTGGGGGGGGGGGGATCATAGGCATGTGGGCAGGTAGCAGGAGTAGGGTTAGGGTATCATGAGAGCTCTACCAAGTAAGGGGGAAAGAGTTCATAGAGGAATGCAAGCGAAGGTCACGCAGTGAAAGCAAGGGTCAGATAAAGGTGCGATGAATGGCTGGTAAAGACTTGAACTAAACTCACCCTGTAATGGAGATCCGGTGTAAGGCAGAATGTTAAGTGTGGGGGCATATAGTAGGTGGAAGGAGATGTGGATAACAGGCAGAATAGTCAGGTCTGCACGGGATCAGGGTTTGGACAAATGGTTCAGTAGAACTACTGCAGAGGCAGGGGCTGCTTTTGTAAATACTGTAGGATTAAGGACCTGAGCAGATATGAGCAACAACATATCTGGACATGCGAGAATTATGTGAAGGACCTTAAATGCAGACATTTCTATAGCTTAGATGCAGCAAGAAATGCTAATAGAGGGCAGCAGCAGTTGAGGAAGCAAGTATATAGTGAGAAGGCAGGCAGAGGTCCAAGGACTGATCCTTGGAGGTGGTTCAGGAGGGGCCAGGAGGAGCAGAGAATCTGCTACCATAACAGATTTGATGCGAGTTGGCAGGTGAGTTTACACAGGAGTGGCGTTCTGTGAGGGCGTGGAGGAGAACTGGGATATTACCAGTCTGAAGGAGGGCAGTGAATTGTAACAGTATGAAAGACAGAAAAACAAGTTCTGAATCAATACATGAAAGAAGTGACTGAATAAAAGAAACAATATTAATAGCCCAGCTGGTTATGCTGTACTAGAGATTAGAGCCAACAGTGCACAGGTTTTTATGAGAGATACTGAATGATAAACTGCAGATGTGTAGAGGGTTTAGCGTAGGATTTCAAAGTAATAGGGTTACTAGAGCTGATTTGAATTGTAGTGGAACTATGCCTGTGAGTGGAGACTAATTAAATTAAACTATGGAAACTGAGAGTCAGAGGCCTGTAAAATATGGCTGGTCATCAAGACAGAGGCACATTCAGTGCAGTTATGCTTCAAGGAAAGTTCAGCCACGTTTATATGAGGAAGGAGGAACACGAAGGCATGTGAGGGGGATTGTTAGCACATATCTGAAGAGGAGGGACGTTTTTGGGTACTGGAGTGTTTTGGGAAGCATGTTCAAAGGCGTGTGAAGTGTGACGTGAGGAACGGGGCGAGGACAGTGAAAAAGGCTGCGGCAAAGTCCCCTGAAGGTCTTTCAAAGAGCCGTGTGCAAAACATTAGCAGCTTATGCTGTGTTCCATTTCAATTCATAACTTGGAAATTCAGAGTTCCTAGTCTTCCACTGCCAAAGACCAGTTCCAATACTAAGAACACAAGTACAAAGGATGGTAAAAATCCCGGGATGTTGGTCTTGCTCCACCCCAAATGTCAAGGATACATCGGTTGCGTCCTCGCCGAACAAGACCAATCCCATGATTCATTGCGCTCCAAGTTTGTTCTTGGAAAGCAAGTTAGCAAGATCAGTCTTGCCAAGACCACATGTGTGGTCTTTGTATTCTTGGCATTGAGATTAATCTTCCTACTCGGGAAGTCTTAGGAATCTATGCAACCTTGAACCCCAACTTTCAAGATGGCTGTGCCCTTTATCAGCGGATGTGTTACTATAGTGTTTTTATATGCAAAACACGTTGTAATGTGTTGTTATCAACTGATATTGCTAACAATAGCTAACAATTAACCTGGGTAGAACTGGGGCCTGTTTCAGAAAGCAGTATTTCTTGCTTGACGGATTTAAGGTAGTCTAGGCTAAACGAAAGTGAACAAAGATAAAGGCCAATTAAATTGGAGTAAATTAAATCCGACAAGTTATCCAGCTAAGCATGAAATCTTGCTTTTTGAATCAGGTCCCTGGTATTGCTCAATCGCTTTCCGACTTGCTGTACTGTTTAACTCGGCTGTTAGTTCCAACCTCTGAGATAAGTATTTTAAGTATGCAGGGCAACAGGGGAAAAAAAAGAATCTTCTTTGAATATAGACCTACTCGTGTAGGTGGTGGATAACTTTGCAAGCATATATTTACAGTTATTTAGACAACAGATGGGCTGGATATACTGTTACAAGACATTAGAATAGCTCAAATACTGTAGTTATTCAATTAGCATTAAATCATTAAGCCTTTGAACAGTTTTGTATATTTTGCATTTCCCTTTTCTCAATTTTCCAGTTACGAAACATTTGTATGGAAGGAAGAAAAAAAAAATACTTGAATGAAGTTCTTTTCATTGAAGCTAATCAGGATTACTCACACTGCAAATACACTGCAAAGATTGTTCATATATTTGAAAAGGACACACCTGCTCCGAGGAGATAAATCTGCTGTTCATTGTGAGTTTGTATCACTGCTGACACTTTCATGTCATTAACACAAACGAGGCTATACAATACAATCAAGGAGCCTCAAGTAAGAACAGTCTTCACAGACAAAAGCATGAATTTGTCCCGAGAAGCGCATAACGGTGTGTGAAGCAGTGTCTGCTCCAGACGGAACAACGTAACAGGCGGATGGGAAGGTAATGGGGTTTTATCCAGGAAAAAAACGTCCGAAAAATCATTGTTCTTCTGAGCCACAGGCCACGCAGAATTTTTTTTACACACCGGACGGGTTATGCGTCTGTAGGGTAAATGCACAAGCAGCAAAACAACCAAGTTTCAAGTTCAATTTGTCACATTGGGCCTACTTCAGTATAAGGTTCACAAACAAAGGCGTGTTGTCTTATATATGTTGTGAAATTCTTTTAAAAGGCATGGGCTGCTAGAGAGACCCACTCACTACTGGCACGCAAAAATTTAGCAACGTAGTCGGCAGGATTCGAACCTGCGCGGGGAGACCCCAATGGATTTCTAGTCCATCGCCTTAACCACTCGGCCACGACTACACCACCTCCAGTAAACCACCATGAACACCACAATATGATTCCACCGATTTAAGTTCAATACAATTAGCAGGGGGGTTTGTCCGTCGGTGCGCACCAGTCTGTATATGTATTATGGGAAATTCAGCTCTGCTTCTTCGGTAAAATATGCACATAAAACTAATAAATTTTACGTTAATCAGGTTGTTTGCCATATACATAATCTGTCCCGTATGACTGGCGAGCAGAGGCTGTAATCTCCTTAATTCTTTGTGCCCCAGTACAACCTTATATCCAGAAATGCCCCAGCTGTAAATACTAACATAACAGATAAGTTCAGTAAACGCTTTACAATATACACTAACTTCTAAACCGCATTAATAAATACATATTTTAAAGTAATCGTTTACTTGTAATATTAAAAAGATTATGAAGTTTTTTGGAAGGCTTGCTCCTCCGCTGAATTTTATTAATCTACTGTGAGTGCACAGTGGAAACAATTTTAAATTAAAATATTAACGAAATCTTTGTACATTTTTATGCTAACATCCAATCATCAATATCTGTGCACAGACAAGTTAATTACATTTTTTAATCTTACAATATTTTTTAAATCATTTTAATTCTGGTGGAAAAAAATGGAATGCTTATGAAGTAAAATATAAAATCTGCCAAATCATTGTAACCAGTCTTTATGTATCAATGAAGCAAATACCTTGGGAACACGTTGCCATGGATTTCTTAGATGTATAATATTTATTTATTCAGTTCAGTTTTGGGGCATTTGTTTTATATTCATTTTGAGAAAAACTGCAGACATAAGAGAGTAATGTGCTGATTTCATATAAGTAAAAAAAGACAAGACATATAATCACAAATTCCGAAAACAAAACTGAAAACAAAACCTGAAAGTGAAACATACAGCTCCTTCCTTCCAAAAATAGGTCAGACTTCAGGTCTTCTTCAACCCACAGTTAGTTCTAACCTTCATCAGTACTCCAGTACTCGAGTGAGTGAATGAGTCATACAGTATTATGTTTAAATCCATATGGAATTTTTTGTATGTAATGTTGTTATAGATTGATTACATTTTCCCAGCTATAAAATGAAAATAAATTTCATAATCAATTGGTTACTGATATTATCACATGACCAAGCATAGAAGTTCACATATCATTATTTGCACAGTTATTTAATGAATAAATACAAGCTGCCCAAT